CAATATGGAATAAACAAGATGTATCGATTCGATTATATTTGATTACGATTAATTACATCGAATTTAATTTCATAAGAAATTAAAAGAAATTCTAATCGATGACACATGAAACTAGATGAAATAATATATCTTAAAAGCAATATGGCAGTTTTATTTGTTACTCCCATTCATTAAAAACACATGATTATGTAATGAATAAATGTTATTCGAGGATGAACTTTTTTATAAGATCTACGAGATCTAGCAATAAAAAATATATCAGGACGAACTAATCTACTATCACTATAATAAATTTTTACTTTTTGCTAGGAAATGCATTTAAATATTATTAATTTCATAATTAAAAGAATATATATAAAATAAATGATTTAAAAAATTATATTAACATCTTATGGATTTTAATTATTAAATTTTATCTTCCAACTAATTCATTTAAAAAGTTCTTTCAAAAAAAATGTTTTAAGATATGAAATAAATAATAAAAACCAGTAAGGATTGTCGCAAAGAATATAATTTCTGAACTATATGACTTGTCAAAAATAAAAGTTTTTCAAAGCTGTCTCGCTTTCTTTATACCAGATCTCGTACACGAAAATTAATTGGCGATTAGGAAGGTACACTTAGAATGTTCGTCATAGTTTGCTGATTAAATAAATCTGATTGCACGGCATTGAGAAACATAGGTACGCTGTGTTGTTGTTGTAAATATTGCTCCACCAATGCTCCAAGAGTCGCAGAGAAAGCAGTCTCTAGAAGATTCACTCCTTCCTCTCCGATTTTGAAAAACAAAAAATCATCTGGTGATTCAGCGTACTGACTATACAATTTATATTGACCTTCCTTTGTTCTATCTACTCGCCAACCAAATAATTGATAACAAGCTTGTCGATATTCTTGCGAGGATGCTTTGAAAGCCTCTTTGAGACGAGCTATTTTGATCTCGTGAGTCTGTTTGAGTTCTGCTATTTCTGAAAATAAAATGAAAAAAGTTAAAATAGTTATAAGTTAAAATAGTTATAAATTAAAATAATATAAATAGTTATAATTAAAAAAGTTTATAGGAAAAAAAAAGATTTCATTCATCGTTGATTATCCTATTTAAAAATTTCTTATTTAATTTAATTTAATTTTTTATTTAAGAACAGATTTTAATAAAAATAAAATTTAAATTTATTTTTCTAATAATAATAATAATAATAAAATAAATAATTACCTTGTGCTTGAAGAGAAGATGTTGTCGCATTAATTCCACCTTGCATTACTTTTGCCCTAAGTTCCTCCAGTTCACATAACAACGCCTTTTGCTTCTCTTCCGCCTGTTGTTCTGCGATAGCAGCAGGATTCATTGTAAAGTGTAATACTCTTGCATTGGAATTGAAGTCACCTTTTAGTGCTCGATGTTCCAATTCTCCCTTTAATCGCTCAACTTCTTCCTTTAATTTATTACACTCTTCTGTTTGGTTATAGCCTTCGGCTGCTTGTAGATCACTTTCTAATTTGGCAACTAAATCCCTGAAAATATAAATCTCTTCAATAATCATATTAATATTGAGGATAAAAACTTTCAAATGAAAATTAAATTTACCTATAAACATCTATCGTGCGTTCCAGCGCAGGTATTCTTTCGGTTATTGCATTATTGCTATCTATAGATATTTCCTTTTCGTACAAATCTAATTGTTGTCGATAACTATCTCTCTCCCTCGTGATAAGTAACATTTTTTTTTGTAGTCTACCCACATATGTATTCAATTTTTCTTTGGAAACTGTCACATTCATAGCTAATTTTTTAGCGTCTTCGTAATTTTTTGATAAAGTATGTGATTCCCTTAACGCAGCATCAAGTTTCGATCTGAGTTGTCCTTCTTCTGCTTTTAAAACTAATTCGGCTTGTTGCAATCGATTCAATTCACGTTTTAGAGCAGATGGTCCTGTAATTCCAATAGATTCATATTCAGCCAAACGTAACGAAAGCTCCGTTTTTTTAGCTTCAAGCATTGCAACTTGTTGTTCCACTCTTTCTGTATGTTCTAATCTACAGAAAAATAAAAACATATTTAAACACAATAAATAGCAAATATTTATCAATCATAGAGATATAGAAAAATATTCCTTTATATTATATTATATTCCGTTACATACCTTTTCATTACATTAGACATTTGTTCTTCTAAAAGTAGTTTCCCTCTAACAGATTCTCTTAATGAAGCAATGGTTTCTTTTGCAATAATTAATTCTTTCTCAAGTTCGTTTGCTTTTGCTGCTTTTGCAGTGAACATTTTTCCCTCCTCCCATTGCATCTTTTCTGATTCTAACCTCTCAACCTTTATTTTTATAGCCTGAAATTCTACATTTTGTAATTCCAATTCTTGCTGCTTTATTTGATATTCCTTCAATTTTTCTTCCAATTGTTTTATTCTTGTTTGTGCTGATTCTAATTTTGATTGTGTATCAAATCCATCAGTAAAATCTTTTGTTACTGCTTTATTTTCTTGGGTAGATGTATGTTTAAAATCACCTAATAACTTTGCATTTTCATTCATTAATGTCATAATTTTCTGTTCCAAATTTGTTTTTACCTACAAAAAATTTTATATATTAAATATATAATATATATAATATATAATATATATATATAAGTGGAAGATCATTAAAATAATTAAATTATATATAGATATTATACCTCAAACAATTCTTTTTCTGCAGCAGCCTGTGCTTCGCGAGTATCCTGAATTGTTCTACGTGAAATGTCAAGTCGTACTTCTAATTGTTTAATTGTTTGTTTATCTTGCTCTACTTGTATTTCTAAAATACCTTTTTCTTTTTCAAAAACTTCTTCCATTTGTCTACGTATTTTATGAAGCTGTTGTACAGCAGCTTCTTGATGAGATAATCTTGTTTTCAAAGATATAACCTAATAAAATATAGATTTTTGAAATACTTCATTTTCAAAAATTTATATATAACATTAATTGGAAACATATTACCTCTCCTTTTAATCTTCTCCATTCCCATGGACTACCAGGAATATTCTCTGTTTCACTTCTATTTAAATTAGAATTATTAGAATCACTCAACTTTGGTCTTTTTGGTGAAATTATACATTCATCAGTGTCAAGTACTGATGTATATGTAGTTCCTGATAATTTTACAGGCACACTATTATTACTCTTACGATATGCTTCAGAACCTGATCTAAGATCTTTTATCATTTGAATAACACTTGTTGGATCTTTATCATTCATCTATAAAAAGAATATAATATAAATTATTATATAAAAAAAAAGATTATGATTATAACCTCAAATTAGATAATTGTTTTAAATCATTTCCAATATATATTTAACCTTTTTAATCATTATATACATGTCACAAAAAATTAAATATGTATCATTTAAATTAAATTTACCTTAATAAATCTTTAATAATATTATATTGTTGAAAATTCAATTACTGGTATAAACGTTTTATTGTAATTTAAGTGTATATACATTTATAGCATACAGAATATTATAATATATAATTCGTTTTATTGAGAATAATTTCTGCAACACTGTTATTCAAATTATTATATTTGTTTCACAAACACTATATTTATAAATATTAAGCACCATCACTGCAACACATTCTTTGAATACATGTTCTGTAGCGTCACAATACGTTCTTATATACTGGTATGGTGGTAACATTTGCATAGAGCATCAACGCGTTAACTAACGTCAAATACCAAAGACATTACAATAAATACTGTTTAGTTGCATACAAATTACCATACAAATTCTTAAATTTGAAAATAAAAAAATTTAATATAGTAGATGTTCCTATTTCACATGTATATAAATACATTTGTGTATTAAATAAAATTATATAATCTGTATAATTTTTAACACAAAACATTCTTGTATTTTTATTACAAATCCAAATAAATTATTAAATTAATTAGATATCCGAGCCTTTAAAAACATAAATTTTATAGAACAATATAGACAAAGAGAACGAATAAGTGGAAAAAGGATAGAGATAGGATAAAAATTAGGGAATCAGCGCCATCTTCAGAGTGCCATAGATTAAACACAATTTAGACAAAGAAAGCAATAAAAAAAAGATAGAGATAGGATAAGAATTGATCATCAGAGCCATCTATTGAGTGATAAAGATATCTCTTCAAAAAGAAGGTAAAGTAGAGTAAGAATTGAAAATTAGCGCCATCAGAAGAATATTTTTGACACTAAAGAGAAGGCGCTAATTGTCAATTCTTACTCTACTTTACCTTGTTTTTAAAGAGATATCTTCATCATTCAAGAGATGGCTCTGGTGATCAATTCTTATATCTCTATCTCTTTTTTTTTGTTTTCTTTGTCTAAATTTGTGTTTAATCTACGGCACTCTGAAGATGGCGCTGATTCCCGAATTTTTATCCTATCTCTATCCTTTTTCCACTTATTCGTTTTCTTTGTCTAGAAGAAGTTTGTGCTTTTAAAAGACGATTTTAATGTTTTAATAATTTTATTATTTTTTAAGATAATAAGAAATATAATAATAAAATATATATACGTAATATAATAAAAATATATAAATTTTTGTGTGCTAAAAATTATATGGAATGAAGTTCGTTTTTTATACATTATGCATATATGTACACATGTATGTAGATATATATGAAAAAGAGATCTTTAATTATAACGAACTAAAATATATATAAAATAATTAAAATATCTAATAAAATTATCTTACTTTTAACAATTTTTTATATTTTACTCTTCGTTTATTCTCTAGAAAGTAATAGTCCGTATTACATATATTATAGCATTAATGTAATATATTGAAGAAAAATTACTATAAAATTCCCATATGTAATTATATTATACAATATACATTATACACAATATCATTGGTGAAAAAAGTATTGTGATTATTTTATTGGAGTACGTAAGTTTTGTAAATTTGCATTAGAAACTAACCAATATAAAAAAAAATGATGAAAACATTTTCACTATTGCTGAATTTAATTTTATGTTTCAATGAATATTTTAAATAAATTCAAAGAAATAAAGTCTGATAATAAAACAAATTTAATAAAAAATTTATTAAAACTAATAAAAAATAATAAACGTTATAAATAGCTAAACCTTTTAATCATTAGTAGTAGACTGTCAAACCACTTGCACTACAGTGTATAAATTTGCACATTCCGTTAATATCATTCGATAAATAAGTTTTAAAATATATTAAAATTATTAAAATGATTTGATTTTTTATTATATCATAGAAGATATACATGTATATATCATTTTAATAATGCAGACGATATATATTTGTATAAGTTTGTTAATCAGCATATCACTAGCTCTTGGGGTTAGTATTTCAATTTATTATAATTCTCAATACATATTTTACTACACATTTTAACGAAATAGTCATCAAAATTTCAGAGCGAACTTGATTATGATGGCTGGTTGCAATTACGATTGTGGCACGCATTTAACGATGAACCAGAGCCGATTTTCATAGAACGAGGTAATATTACAGTATCAAGTGTTCGTAGCGGTGCCTCTGTTATTGGACAAAATGGATTGCTGCAATCCCATATAAACGAACTAAAAAATCTTGCCAAAAATGATGGCAAATATAGACTTAAAGCAGTAGCTCGAACTTCTTCAGGAAATGAAATAACATTTTTATCTTCTGTACCTGCGGTAATTATATTTCTTAGTATTTTTATGTTTTATATATCTGTATTTTATTTATAATCTTTTTTCTATTTAGTGTTATCTTCTTGGTTCTGATCTTGAAGATGTCATAACAATTTGGCTAGATAGTGCAGCGGAACCAATAGTTGTCAGTATATCATCGCCTGGCCCCTGCAGTATAGAAAATCCATTTACAAATATGTGGACAACTAATGTTGTCGTTAAATATCCTGATGGTGGACCAGTTCCAGACACTGCTACATATATTCAAAAACTTGAACGTGAAAGAGAAGCAAGAGAAAGAGGAGAAGCAAAAGATAATAGATCTTTCCTTGCAAGATATGTAGGTTTATTATTGTAAACAATATTTGTATATAATACATTTTAAAATATTATTTATTGCTTGATTTATTTATCCATTTCAGTGGATGTACATTGTTCCTGCATTGATCTTTGTTATTCTATCATCTGCAACAAATCCAGAAGCTGGAGGAGCAGCAGGTGGCAGTGCTCAAAGATAATAACTTAAAGTGTCTGTGGTGCCTCCAAGAGTGCTTGTGTCGAATCTTTTATTTATAAACTTACAATATACTTTCATAATTACAATTGTAAAAATATAATTGTATCTTTTTCTGAATAAATTCTGATTTAATTAAATTTTTTTTATCTATTTTTTAGTATTCTAGATTATTATATAATATCGTGTAAAATGAAAGTTTTTCGCAATGTAGTACATGTATTTGTGCGTTACAATATATTTTTTTAACTTAAAGCCACCTATTATAATTGTATATCACTATTATATATAGTTTAGTCTTCTAGGTAAAGTTCACAGGTAAGGCAAGAAAAGATCAATAATCTACCATCCAATGAACAAAGCCACAAACTGTTACTATTATGTATTAGAATATTTTGTAATTTATCAGGCTGAAAAATGGCAGCTTTTTCTCTGAATATTCAGAAACATGTAGAACCAGGTCTTGTAACTTCAGGTAAATTCGATGGTTCTCATGCTTGTTTAGCAGCTGCAACATATGGTGGAAATATTTTGGTGCACAGTCCTCACAGGCAACCACAAATAACCGATCATGACCACGAGCAGTCCGATAGAAAATTATCTTGGAGCGGAGAACTCGCTGAACTTAAAATAGGAAGTGAGGTATTAATCAAATAATTATACATTTTTTAAAAATTTAAAATATTTTTTTAAGAAAATTTAATTTTGATACAAATTAATTAATATCTGAATAAATCGCTAGATTATTGCATTATGCACTGGTCGACTTAATGAAGATGAGAGAGATATCCTTCTAATTGGAACTGCATCTCATGTTCTGGCTTATCATATAGAAGACAATTCTGATATTTTTTATAAAGAAGTATTTTAATCATATTCATAATCAAACTTGTTTGGAAAAAAGTATAAAGAATTTAAATTATTTTTACGAATAGATGTCTGATGGTGCAAGATGCATACTCATTGGCAAATTGAGTTGGCTTCCAAATCAAGTTGCAATCGTCGGTGGCAATTGTTCTGTAACAATTTTAGATTCGCAAGGCATAGAAATATTTTGGACAGTAGTAGGAGGAATTGTTAGTTCATTAGCCGTTTTTGACTTCGATGGAGATGAAGAAAACGAGGTAAAGTATAATAAAAAAAAAAAATTCTTAAAAATTTTAATAAGAATCAACGAATGAAATAATGTACCATAAATATAAAAATATCTAGTTGATCGTTGGAACGAAGGATTTTGAAATAAAGGTGTACAAGAAAGATAATCTGCTTTGGGATGCCAAAGAAACTGCTTCCATTACCTCTTTAATCGGTCTACCTCATAGACGATTTGTTTATTCAGTAGGAAATGGAACTCTTGGTGTCTATGAAATGGCTCAAAGATTATGGCGTGTTAAGGTCAGCCTAAATTAAAATTAATAAAAATTGCAAATGGAAAAATATATGATAAATTTTTCAGTCAAAACACAGAGTAATAGTTACAAGGAGCTTTGATTTGAACGGAGACGGTTCACTGGAAGTCATAACCGGTTGGAATAATGGAAAAGTAGACGCGAGATTATCCAATAATGGAGAAGTAATTTTTAAAATTCAATTATCCGCTGGAATAGCTGGAATTGTGGAAGCTGATTACAGAAGAATTGGCAAATCTGATTTAGTCATAGTATCTTCTACTGGAGAAGGTAGGATAAAGTTTATAAATTGCATGGAAAAATAAATAGAAAAACTAGATTTTGTTTTATTTTTAAATGATATTGATTTTAGTGCGTGGTTATAGTTCTGGCTCCACAATGGATACACCAGAACCAGGTGAAGCTATGCGTGATTTGTTGGCCAAAAAACAAATACTTCAAATGGAAATTAGGCAGAGAGCTGCATCAGTTCCGAATATGTATCATGGAACAAAATTGGCTGTTAGTTTGATGAGTGCTGAAGGTGCAGCTCGTGTTGCTCTTGCTTCGGGACCTGGTCTTCTTGTAAGCGATTCAATTCTTGTACAAAATTTTTTCTGGTGTTTTTCTTTTGAAAATTTATCGTTAAAAAAAAGAGAAAATATAAATGGAATAGGAATATATATAATAAACTTTCAATATTGATATTTAGATACATTGTGCGATAGTTTTTACTGAAGGGGTATTCGAAGGCGAAACTTTAGTAGTCCATCCCAGCAGACCTAAAGGAGAACTCGAAATAGAGCTTCGTCCTCCTAAAAATAATCCTGTGGATCTCCATGTGAAAGTATGCGTTGGTCCAGCTGGTGCAGATCTACTACAGGTATTAAATGAAAAAGAAAAAAAATTTTTTAAATTTATTCTAATGTAACTTTTTCCCTTTCATGAAGGTGTTCGAAATGACACGTCAATTGCCTAGATTTTGCATGTACCAGATCATTGAGAAACCTCAACAAATTCCAGACGATTTTACAAAAAATAGTGTCACAACTGAGGTATTTATTTATCACATCATATTAATAATAAAAAGTATACTATTTCTTTTTTTTTTAAAAAAATTATAAACGAATCTAATATTTTTTAATTAGCTCGCAGAAAGACCTCAAAGAATCGCCCTCTGGTTGAACCAAAGTCTCATCCTCCCTGAAGAATTCGAAATTAAAGAGGACAAGCCAAATAATGGAAACATGGAGATATGGCTTCGAGGAATGAGAGATAACAAAATTCATTGTTTCATGGTAGACGCAAATGGGAAATTAACTATCCAAACGGAGGATTCTACATTTGCTGGCGACATTATTCAATCTTTAGCTCTATACTTGGGTCTCAGAGAACTTTCTTCCGAGGTCTCATTTCCGGCTGAAGAGAAGAAATTGTTGGACGCTTTGGAACGTGTCAAAGGTTAATATAAATAAATTATCGCATTTCTTAGAAGAATATTAAAAGATAATTATTAATTTATTGCAGAGCTAAAAGAAATTGATGCTAAACTGCAAGCAGAGACAGCCAATGAGACTACTTTATTGAAGAATATTATAATCCGTCTGGAGGATGCGAGAATTCTCGAGAATATCGACGAAATGAGAAGGAGACTCGTACAATTGAAAAATGTAAATGCTGATCTAATCAGGGAACATGAAATTAGGATGAAGAGCTATCGCGAATTTACAGCGAATTTAAAGGAGCTTAATCTTGGAGTTCAACGTGCAGCTAGATTAAGAGGTAATATATATATTTTTTTCTTTTCATCTTTTTTCAGAAACTGTTATTTGAATTTTTCAGTCGGAAAAAGTGCCTCGAATACCGTAGCCAATTGCAGAGCTGCGATCCAGGATGAAAATTCGAAAGCTCTCGTGATTGCAATAAGACATGGATGAATTTTAACATTGTATCTTATAATATTCACATTAATGAATATTATTTTATACAAACTTTATTTTTTTCACGTTTATTATACACATTCAAGAAATAACAATAATAATAAGATCATTCACAAGAGAAAGTATTGTAGAAAGTATTGTAGATCTTATTAACTATTTACAGCAAGATCAAAATTTAAAAAAGACTGTTCATTCAAAGATCTATATTTTTAAAAGGAGATGCAAATTGACGAATCTCATTGATTTACAATCAAATTTAAACAATTTTAAAAAATTTATCTCAAGGTAATAATACGTTACAATGGAAATTGACAATCAACAGTCAACAATTTTTAAAACACGAAGAATTAGAACACAAACTTCTCATCGAGGTACACAAATTGAGCTCTGAGGTCTCTTTTAGTCAATGAAGCGTTCCTCGAACTGATATACTGAATCTTCTTTTAAGAGGTATAGGTGATGGACGTCGAAGAGCGTCCAATGTTCCATCGGTAGAAGCTCTCACCCTGAAGGAATTCGTCTGTTGGCCAGAATTACCAGGCAATTCCGTCAACAGTTTGAAGATGTCTGTGAAGACGGCCATGACCTGTCGAATAAAAATAATCGGGCCAGTCTGTTGCTATCGTTACATAACCCCTTCGAGATTATCTTATTAAGCAGCTATCACAATTATACTTTATATATTTTTCTTTCATAATCTACTTTAAAAACCGTTCGTATTATCACTCGCCATTTTTTCATTCGTACCTCGTGCCGTGGTTCGCGACACGTGTAGGATCATCGATCTCCTTTTCTCGTTTTTCCTTCAATTTCTATGTTACATTTCTTCTAGTAATATAACAAATTGCAATATATAATGATTTAAAGGAAATTCAAATTGAAAGATATATAATTTCTAAATTAATCTCGATATAAAAATTTAATTTTATATTGAATTTATCTTTTGTTTATATTGTTTATTATATCAAATTATCATTTATAAATTTTATCTTCTAACAAATTTTCCAAATTCTATGACTTTTATTACAACTTCTCTAATCAAGCCAACAGAAACAGATAAATTTTTAAAATATACACACGAGACCTTAATATCTAATCAATAATCTTTGCTTCAAACTTCATCCATATCTTTTCAAAATAAGAAAAGAAAAAAGAAAAAAAAGAAAGAAGTGTAAAGTGTAAAGAAATATGAACAAATTCTAATCTCACGTCCAAAGACCGTAAATAGTTGTGGTCCCACGATTAAGTCCAAGCTTAGGGGTAATTAATTGTGAAACAAATTTTTAATTACGGCACATTTACGATACCGATAACACGATCATTGGAAGATGCTCCGGCGGTATCTCTCTTGCGTTCCGCTCGTTCCACGATACAGATTTTGTTTACCACTGTTTGATCACGCGTAAACGCCATGACCGGTTTCCCAGAGGAGTAAACAATCGTTTTAGAAAAATAACGAAGATTAGGTACGGTCGCGAGACAAAGCTTGAAACGATCGATCCGCCAAAACTTTGACCGCTCCTCCTCTTTCCTGCGCCATCCAAATAGGCGAGCAATGACGGAAGAAGAGGGGCATCTTCAGCCAGCTGAGAGATTTCCAATCGAGCAGACTTTCTTTCGCGATTGATGACGTATATTCGCGTATACGTCAACGATTCTCAATGTCTCTTCGTATCGAGACCTCACGAATAATTCAACTCGTTTCGCTGATAATGAAAACATTTGGGTCTGCCAGAAGCTTTCGATTGCCGATGACGCGATGTTGTGTCTGGTTGTGGCGAATTTTAGAAAATGTTACGAAGAATGTGCTTTCATTTTGCATTGTCATCATTTGGGATTGTAAAAGTATTTGAATTTTTAGAGAATATTTAATTTCGAAAGAATGCAATCCATTTGTCTTGGCAAGCCTTTGTATCTGATTTTTGTATCAAATTTTAATATATATATATATATATATATATAGGGGAAATGCATATCGTTGTTATTATAAGAATATCTAATTTTGATAAAATTTAAAGCTTGCAATTATTAGTTTTCGTGATGATTGATTACGTAATACTCTGTTTATCATTGGCAAATTTTAGAAAGTCGAGGAAGTGTATCATTATCAATTGTTATCTGAGAGAGATAGGATGTTTTAAATAAAATATTCGAAGATTTTGAGAATGTTTGATATTAAAGGCTTGCAAGATAGAAGGAAATGGGTTACGAAATGGATTTGGTAATCAATCTTTTATGCAATAAATCTGTTGCAATTGTTTACCTTATGTTATAGTCGTTAGATGATAATTTACACGTCGGATAGCCTGTGTCTTAGCCCTTGCCACTTAAGGTTAGATGTACGATGTCAGTGTTAACGTTACGTCAAAAGCTTGTTGTTTTATCGTGTCAACGACTGTTAATTTTTCCAAAGTGAACGACCTAACGCTATGTCATCACGAATATTATGACTATGACTCGAAAATAGCATTATATCATATTCTGTTATTAAATGTTTTATCTGCATTTTATTATTGTTTTGTGATTCGAAAGATTCAATATTTTTCATTTTTTTTTTTTTTTTTTAATAAAATTGAAATATGTGCAACTTTAATAGCAAAGTTCATGACTTGATTTATATTTTTCCATATAAATATCTTCGTTAATCTTTTTCAAGGTCAAGCACATCGATACAGCATTGACATTGAATTTATTAATGTTCATCTAACTTTATAGGGGATGAAGAGTTGAGAATAAGAAGGGTATATATCGAATAATGAATTCGATTAAATAGAAAGAATGGGAAATGAAAATTTTAATGTTACCTGTTCGACTGATTCTCTGACAGAAATTTCATGAAACGCTTGAGCCTCGATTTCTTCCGCTCTTTGACGACCTTCCGCGGTGGAAACCACCCTTTCGCCAGGTGTATATGTTAGATCCGCTTTGTTCGCTATGAGGATCACTATCGGTGGTACTTTCCTAGTTTTCCTTGCGTGTGATACTAGAAATCTGGAATAAATATTATGCAGAAATATGTATAAATGGTAAATAACATGAAAAAGAATTTATATGTACATATATTTATTCCAAGTAAAAATTGTCTTTTGACACGTCACTTAAAAAAATAATCGAAAGATATGATTATAAATTATGATGATAAAGATATGATATATATCCGTTATTTCTACTTTCTTCTAGATTTACCCTTTCTTCGATGTTTCTTTGACATTTATTGCGCAATATATTCAACCCTTCGATATTTAATTTAAAAATAGACTGAAAGTCAATTATATTTATTAGTGTGTTCGCACATGAGTTAAAGGTAAATTATTTATCCCTTATTTAATCATTAGAGATTGTTAACAAACAAGTTATTTGTTATAGATTATTGTTCAATGTATTCCCTCACCGAAGACGAGATGTTTCATCGAAGCTGACACGATCCGATACAGAATAAACGAGAACGATAGCATCTGCAAACCGCAATTTCAACTCGGACGGAGGTGGTAGATATCCTGGGGGATCTGTTATCTCCCATGACGCATCCAGGAAACTGTCCACCTTGTAAACCCTTTCGATGGTGCAGTCGTACTCCCCTATGTAACGTTTCGTAGCGAATCGCACCGCTAAAGCTAAATATTTACATTGTTATCTTAGAATCGTTGATTCTATTATCAGAACTTTTTTATTGTTGCTTTTTTTTTCTTTTTTATTATTTCTCTCAAAAAGTATAAGATTTGGGAAATCGAAAGTACAAATATTTGAAAGGGATTAAGAAATATTGAAAATCAAAAATACGTAACAAATTTTAAAATTTTCAAAAATATGCTATGTATCGAAAAAAATTTGAAAATGAAGATATTCGAATTAAGATTTTAAGATATCAAATTCGTTACAAATTTTGGATATTTACCAGTTTTTCCAACACCCTGATGACCCAGAAGGATCACTTTGATAATCCTCGGCTCCTTGGTGGTGAGGCCAAGATTCCAGGCAATCGGAGGGCTGATTCTTTTTTTCAACGACGCCGCTGGTGGACTGAATCTCTCCATGACTTGACCGCCACTGCGTTCCTTGTAGGGTGTTTCATCGATTATGAACCCTCTCTTTTACCCGCCGATATTTAATAAACGCGTTTTATCATGCACGCATCCCTCGAATTACCTTTTCCTTCATTGACCCGTAACAAACGATATCTTTTTTTTCCTCGCATTTATCTATTAACTCTATATTTGCATATTTCACTATTATATTATATTTTTATGCACTATACAAATATTATTTCTTTATTGTTTTTTTTTTCAGTATCTTTTAAATTATTTTATTTTTCGCAATTTTGAGTTTTTGTAATGGTCAATTATAATATACTATTTTATTTTATTTCTTTTTTTTTTTTTTATCTACAGATATTTATTTCGTAAAAAGTTAAATTATATCCCACGCCTGTTTTTTCGAGAGTTGAGATATTTTTATTTTTTCTTATTGTATTTAAGGCGTTTAAAGTAGAAAGTTTATCAACTTTGGAATATCCAATTCACTCGATAATCAATTATTTGAGTAATACGGTTACAGGGATCATACGATTTCGAATGAACACGTGCTTCGAATTCAAGAATTTATCAAATATTATACTTTGCTTATGACATGTGATTGTCAGTTTAATAAGTACACGAAAGAACTAAAAATATAATAAAAATCGGTGATAATTGGCCAGGAAAGAAAAATTCCTTCGCGATTACGATTCTATGTATATACACTCATCGAAAAAAAAAACGATCTAAAACGAATATGAATAATATAAAACTTAAGTTAAAATTTTCAAATGGATACATTGGTTAAGATATATTTCCACGTTGTTCTTATATATCTATATAAGATTTATTTATATACGAAGTATCGTTTATATAAAAGAATCGTCTCATGATATAAAAATGTAGCAATCCTATATATTCTTATCCTAAATCTCTTATCGAAATTCTCTAAATTTTAGGCCCCCTCGTCAAAACTTCGAACGCAGAATCGAACATGGAACAAATTTTTCTCTACTCCGTGCATTCTAACGATGCACGTGAATTTCAATTCTCAATATTATCAATTGTACGTTGTGGACGCAAGGATCTCGAGCAAAGGTTATTACACATAGGCTTAATCAAGATGCCTCGTATCAATGTCGCTAGGTCAAACGGTTTCACAATTCGCGACCCTTCTCCTGGATGGAATAAAACCGGGCATCGTGGCTGGTGCACCCGGTTAAATCATATGATTCTGCGACCTGGCTCGTTCGAAAGACCGGCACGCGTCCACGTGGTTATTATTACTTTTATGTAAGAGGCGGGGAGGGAGGAGGGCAGATGGTCGAGGGCGCTTTTATCACGCTTTCGTCACGCTGAACGATAGAACAATTGTCCAGGACCCGAGTGATTCACCGGCGTTTCGATTTTCACACGTGGTTTTTCGTGGACGAACACTTTCTTCCGTTTTTTCTGAGATTTGAGATCGATGACGATAATCTCGATATTTCATTCGATAGAGGAAATGATCGATCGTTATATAAATTATTGGGATGATATGATTCGATGAAGTGGAATTTTGAAAATAAATATTTAATGCAAATGATTTAATATAAGTGATTGACTGTTATATATGGTGAAAAATAGTAAAGAATTTATTGGACAATGGTTCATAAATATTTTCTTTTTTCTTGAGTAATAAAGTAATCTTCTCAAATTAATTTCGACTTTCCTTAACAAGGATTTTTTTTTGCAGATCGTGACAAACATTTTCTCGATATTCTGGTACGAGGAGATGATCGATGTATGTTACAAGTTGTTGAGAAACTTGGTCTTTTCTGGTGATACGACTGGATTCCCTTAATAGAATCCCAGATTTGCGAAGTACGGGCTTACGAAACGAGTACATGACTCGATCTGGCGATTGCAGATAACACGTACTTTATATCAATTTATATCAATACCTCGTTCACGACCTCTCATCGAACTATCTTCACGTAGATTATTTCCATATAAAATGGATCTCATCACTCTTGCGATTTAAGTAATCCCGTTTCCTAATCTTCAAATATACACGATTTCAACCTCTCGATACAGAGATCTCTCGTCGAGAAGAGAGAAGAGGGAGAAAAGTAAACGGAGAGTGACTCCATAAACGTGTCTATAATTTCATCCCTATTAATTCTAAATTTCCTAATCATTTCAGAAAATATAGATCGACTACCTATTATACTCTACATTGTTACAATTCCAATGGCACAACCAGACGAAATGACTCGTCTGACCAGACGAACGCCAGTTTTCGGCCAATCGCATGAGGAGGCAATGAGGAGCGACCCGATTTCCAGGAATCCCTGTTCCGTTTCTTCTAAGCGCGCTCGTGTTTCCTGGTACACCCCGCCATTGATAATCTAAATATAAACGCCACCAAGTCGGCCGTGTAGGAGGAAAGCGTGCCGCTCCCCGGTTGACCTCATCCGCGGGTTCCATGGGGTTATCGGCTTGTAACTCGCTTCCCTTATCGGTTATCATTGCCCCGTCGGCGCCGTAACCGCCGAAAAAATGTACCCGTCGGTCTCACCGGCCGATTCAAACATGGAGGACACGGGTTTCTGAAGAATCTACAATGTGCTCTTTTTTTTTTTTTTTTTTTTTTTTTCTAAGTATCCAAGTATCTCATGGTATCTTAGATTAGATAGAATTTTCTGAGTCTTGATCGTCTTCACTGAAGATAGAAAGAATTTTTTTTTTTTTTTCTTTTGGGAGGATAAGATAACGAGAAGTTTTATGGTGGATTCAGGGTGGAGATTGGAAGAGATTGGAAGAGGTCAATTTTTTAAGTTGTTTTGAACATTTAGAGATTGAGGGTAAATGGATGGAGTTCAAGGGTTTGTAAGTTTCAGATTACACGCCTAATTATTCGTGAGATGTATCGTGATTCGATTAGAGATGTGGATATATTTGTTGGAAAGTTAAGTGCAAACAGGAGATATAAAAAATATTGCTATTTGGTGAGGATAAAACGTATCCATATTTAATTAAAGTTTTATTTTTTGTAAAATTTGTTTGTGTTCGCTTTTAATTCTAATGTCTAAATTGAATATAAATAAGTTGATTACAAATATGGAGATGGAACGAAGTACAAAGTTTTTATTAATTGATTATAATGATGAACAAAAAAAATTATTGCAGAAATAAAATCAAAATAAAAAAAAGATATAGAAATTATTCAAACGTTGTAGAATAAAAATATCTTGTACACATTTTCATATATTTTACATATATCTGTATGTAAAAAAAATTAGAGATTGATAAAAGATATGTTTTAAAAAAAAAGACTATTTCTCTGATTATACTCGAGTAGAAGTTTATTCCTATGATTGGCCAACTCCGATCAGTATTTTTAGTAAATGTACGACCAAAAGAAGATCCTGTTATCTCGCTTATCTTTGGGACCTAAAGGGATCCAATTAAGCGGCCATAATTTTCGGAATCAAATTCCATGATCCCTCCTTGTGACTTCATAGAATCGTAGTATATTTCTTGTTTTTCCAAGGAATCTCATAAAAATCTAAAAATACTCTAAAATGATCTTTAAATGAATATCTCGGGAATAAGGTATTACAGCCTTATTTTCCCTCTGTGCAACGAAGCTATAAATCAAATAACGTGGTATAGCACTTTCCAATTATAGATCATGAAATTTATTTCTTATGATAATGCTCTCCTAAAATACTTTACTGGCGCCTTTTGATCTAATTTTATTTATCTAAGGAAAAAAAAAAAACACACGGAATCTGTTGTTCGAACAGGAAAAAGTGCAAAAGTAGATAAGATTGGTAATTGGAAAAATTGAAAAATGTTCTAATCTCGTTTATGATAAATTTAACTAATAAGATTTATTCGAATTTTCGAACCTCCTACGATCCTATCCTTATCCAATTTATCAATTATAATACTACTCCATTTTTTCAAATGATATAAAAAAAATTGTCAACAGATATAATATAATTTTCGTTATACAAATTAATAATTTTAATTACGATATCTATCGTTATCGAATATCAATTTGTATCGTTGAAAGACGGATCATGCTTATTGAAATGAAAAAAAAAAAAATCTTACTAATTAAGTGCATTTTTTGCATATAATCAATTTGCAAATCGTTCAACTGTCAAAAACTTGGAATTAATTATTTGAAATAAAACATTACTCAATTTTTAGATCAATAAGAGACATATGTGCAAAAGATTTTAAGGACTCGCGGATTCATAATAGTTTTTCCGCGAAAGAATCGAAAATATACTGAGGAATGACGTGACGGCATTAAAAACGACTATAAAGCCGATTTACAAGCTCGTAACATAAAATATTAAAACGATTATAAAATTAAAACGAGCAGAGAGTTAGTAAAAATAGTATTTTATGGCTACATGATTCTTTGTATGATTCGTTAAAAGATTTATCTTATTTAACTTCTAAATATATATTGAAAAGTGATTTATCGATTTCTTTCATTTTAAAAATAAAATTTATTTTATTATATTTTTTTCTTTGTGTCTTTCTTGATAATAATCACATACAATATATAAATGTATGTGATAAAAATACGATGAAATCATTTTTGTTTTTGTTTGATTGCTAACTAAATTTTATATTACATAACTGAAAGAAATATATCGAAATTCATTTTTTATAAATAAATAATGTTTCGAAAACTCCATTCCGTTCCTTAAATTGAATTTGTCTTTGGTATTATATAAAATTATGATGGTAATATTTAATAATCAATACGACTTTAAAGCACTTTAACGATCATGTAGCATATAATGATAATTAAAATGATACACAGTACTTTTACAATTTTTTAAAAATAATTTAATTTTTGACTTTTAAAGAATTTAACGATTGACTTTTAAAAAATTATGAAAAAAATAGAAAATTGTAAAAAATATTTACAAATACTCCACAAAATTTCTACTTATATTTACCTTAATTATGAAAGAAGTAAAAGAAATATGTTTACAAAATCTGCATTTATCGATA